TGATTATCATATTATAATGCTTGACTGACTGATGTTAAGAGTGTACTTCGAGTTTCACAATTTGAGTTGAATTACTGAAATAAATGAATTTTTCCACGACATTCTAATTTATTGAGATGCACCTGTATATAAAATATAAAAACTCTTTAAATATAAAAAACGTACTTACAGTCTTTGAGTCAGAACAGCCGGCATTGTAGTATACTCTCCCAGGATCAGGAAACAGTCCTCCATAAAATGTGCTGCACACATCTGAATATTTGGGTTGAACTGTTCTGGAACAGTGTTGTAAATACAACATAACCACTGATTTCTAGTCGTGTCCTCTTTTGGAAGGCCAAACAAAGTAGTTTTGCTTTCACAACGAAACACACAGCGTCACACACAGCGGGCTAGAGTGAGCGGCGGCCGGCGGATTCGACGAAGGAGCGGCCGACGGGTTTGCGGCAACCACATGTGACGACCCCGGGCTGGACTCCGTTTCGTCCACGGTGAAAGCCGATCCGGCGATTTTTATTTTTTTTTTTATTTTTATTTTTTTTAAATAAAGAATATCTCTTTGGATTTGAGACTTTAGTCTTTGCAACTTTACAGATCTTCTTTATGCACCAAGAGCTTGTAACACTCCAAAGAGAAAGGAAAAATTGAAATCGCATCATATGACCCCTTTAACACATGGTTTCCTTCACAGGGAGCAGAAAGCCAAGAGAAACAGTCAGTGGGTGCCCACTCTTCCCAATAGTTCCCATCATTTGGACGCTGTGCCTTGCTCCACCACTATTAACCGCAATCGACTGGGGCGTGACAAAAAAAGGACCTTCCCGCTCTGGTGAGACTTTTTTTCTAATGGGCAAAAAAATTCAATTTCACTTTGAGCTTAGCATCACTGTTCATAAAGTGATGGACTCAGAAGTTCATCAGTTTTTGACAGCATGTGAAAACATTATGACTCCCGTAATGATGTTTTATGTCTGCTTAAAGTGATAGTTTACCCAAAAAAGAAAATGCTGTCATCCTTTAATGTCCTCTCAAGTTGTTCCAAACCTGTATGCCTTTCTTCTGTGAAACACAAAAGAAGATATTTCAGGTCCCATTGACTTTGCATGGACAAAAAATATTATGGAAGTCAATAGGAATTTCAAAGGTTATATATACAGGGGTTGGACAAAGTAATGTGAACACCTGGGAGATAGGCAGTATTTCTTTATTAAGATGTTTTACCACCATTTGACTTCAATACAGCTTCCAGCTTTCTTAGAATATATTCATCCAACTTTTGAATAGTCTTCAGTTGAATGTTGTCTGTCAAAACATCTGCCAGTTGTCTGAGATATTTTGGAGAAGGGAATCTGCTTCTCGCTCTTCTCTCCGAAAACTGCCCACAGTGGATTGGTATTCCAGTATTCAAGTCAGGGGATTTGTCTGGCCAGGGCAGATGTTGAAGTTCATCTTGATGCTCCAACTGTTCAGGTTTCTTGATCATGACACCATAATTATTGCATTTTGTGATTAAAGTTGTAGCAATTGCAGCTCTTTCATGGATGTTGGATTTATTTGTGGAGCTCTCTGTGTGATTTTTGCAGAAACAGGGTATTCAAGGTGAATATTGAGATTTTTAGTTAATTAAAACTTATTCTACACTGATATAAAACTTGCAGAATATAAACAACAAAAAGATACAAGATAATTGGAATGTTTTTTTGTTTTGTTTTTACTGTAGCCTACAAAAATTATATCACTTTCTTTTGTCCTAACCCTGTATATAATATCACTAGTTTCATTGTCTTACTGTGTTTGTCCCCTGGATTTGTGCTATTACAGCTTTGATGATCATGACCCTGCAGTCATTCATGAGAACGCCATTCAGCCTGAGATCCTGGTGCCCATCCGTCTGGACATGGAGATTGATGGGCAGAAGCTGCGTGATGCTTTCACATGGAACATGAATGGTAGACTCCCTTACATATGTCCTGAGCAGCATTCATTGAAGTTATTTTTGAATGTTTTTTTATTCCGCATTACACAAGTGCCTGAACTCTAATATTTTCCTTGACCCGATAGAGAAGCTAATGACTCCGGAGATGTTTGCTGAAATCCTTTGCGACGATCTGGATCTGAGCCCACTGACCTTTGTTCCAGCCATTGCCTCGGCCATCAGACAGCAGATAGAGTCCTACTCCACAGACAGCATACTGGATGAGCAGATGGACCAGAGAGTCATCATTAAGGTACATGCGTCATTCTGTCAAGTCACCTTAATTTCAGTAATCCCATTTTTAAACATCATATCTCATTACTCAGTTATTTTGACCATCTGGTGGTATGTATGGAAACACAAGGCTGAACATTTATTTTTAAAAAAGCTCGCTATATTCATAATATCAGTGTTTTTTTTATGTCTCTTATGCTCACCAAAGCTGTATTTATTTGCTCAAAATTACAGTAAGAACTGTAATACTGCAAATTATTATTCTATCGTATATTCTAAAATATGTTACATTTTAAGATGCAATTTATTCCTGATCTTTCAGTCACTCTAATATGCTGATTTAGTGTTCAAGAAACATTTTTATTGTAATCAGTGTTGAAAACAGTTATGCTGCTTAATATTTTTGTGAAAACCGTGATGCAGTTTTTTCAGGATTCTTTGGTTTATAAAAGTTCAAAAGAACAGCATTTGAAATGGCTTTACTGAGCCTACTCGATCAATTTAATGTGTCCTTGCTAAATAAAAGTATACATTTTTAATAAATCTCATAATTTATTGAATGGTAGTGTATATTATATGTATTATAGTTATTCAGTTGAATAAAGATAGATTATCATGGTTTTTGATTGTTGTTGATTTCTCTCTCTGTCCTCTATCTCTGTAGTTAAACATCCATGTTGGGAACATTTCTCTGGTGGACCAGTTTGAATGGGACATGTCTGAGAAGGAGAACTCTCCTGAGACGTTTGCTCTGAAGCTGTGCTCTGAGCTGGGCCTGGGAGGAGAGTTTGTCACCACTATTGCATACAGCATACGCGGTCAGCTCAGCTGGCATCAGAGGACCTACGCCTTCAGGTTCAGACTTGTACACACACAAATCCTTTATTAAGGAGGAACAGTTTATCACAATCGTAGCCAAGCATGAATTCTTTTAAAGGTTTTTCACTGCTTAAGATAAAATGTAGTAAAAAAGTGAAGTGTTTGTGTGTTGCTGTGTGTTGATAAAACACAGAAAAGTATAGTCCCCATATGGGTACAGAGAAGTTTTGTGAGTTTGTCTCATTTAAATGTTTTTCCGTTTATATGATAAAGACCATAGGAAAGTGTTCACAACTTGTAAACGAATGTGAACTTTCTCCAAGTTTAGACATCTTTTCAGACAGTGTCTAATGTCTGGGACATTACAAAACTCATCAGAAGGGTCATGTTTTTCCTCTGGGAGGAAGACATATATTGTTTAGCCCATTTTTGTGAACCTACTAGTAAAGATCTGACTCAAAAGAACAATTGGTCTCTGAACTGGGTCTAAAATGCTGTGTTTTGTCTTTTTGTAGCGAGAACCCTCTCCCCACAGTGGAGATTGCCATCCGAAACACAGGTGATGCTGACCAGTGGTGTCCGCTGCTGGAGACACTGACAGATGCTGAGATGGAGAAGAAGATCAGGGACCAGGACAGAAACACAAGGTAAGAGAATTAACTGCCTCACTTAAGATAGTGTTTTGCCCCATAGCAGGTGTGCACCAACTAGAGAGGCAAGCCATATGTCAATGACAAACTATTGTTTCACTAAGACCAATAATACTTCTTTGTACAGATTTTCATTTGAATATTTGGGAGATATTGTGACTGTTTTAGTCCTCATATCAAACTTTTTCTGTTTCAGGCGAATGAGACGACTTGCAAACACGGCCCCAGCATGGTGAAAATAACAGCCCCCTCCCACAACTATGTAAATCTGAAGAGGAAATAGCAATAGAGCTACAACCCGGCATTACTGACATAAAATCATAGAGACATTCCACTGGCCAGTCCAGATCCAGTCCCTCCAGGTCAGAGTTACTGACTATGAGATACCCAGTATCTGTCATCTTGGAGACAGACCGTCCCTGTCTTGAAATTGAGAATATTTTATGGTATCTTTATTTGTCTTGTTTTGTGTTTGTGTATAGATGCCATTTTGTAAACATAATGTGCTTTTAAATAATTAAGACCGACTCTTTTTTTGGAATGCTTTTCATTCCCAAAAGCTTGCAATAAACTTGCAAGGACAGTCCCAACGGGGCAAGTGGGACAAGTGTCTTAAAAAATAGGAGTCTCAGTATTGTGTTCTGAACTAGCAAACTGGTCACTTGAGTGCTATGGATTTGGGTATAAAAATATAAGATCTATTTTTATTTGTAAAGCAGAAATATTGAACAATCAATCAAATTGTAAATATAATACAACCGAAAACTTAATTCATCAGCCTTCAGACAAACAAATGTATTTGTATTCATATTTAGAGAAAAACACAACACATGTACATATATCTGTGGTTTTAAGTTAATTTTATCTTTTTGTGGAGCACATTTTTCCAGACAATCCATCTTTTAGTTTCACTGCATAAAGCTTTTTGTGTTTTCGCAATGGTGCTGTGCTAACAAAAGGCCACAGGGTTGAAAATGCATAGTCTGCAGTTCAATTTGGCATTTCAGATAGTCGGCACATTTGTGAATGTGTCCAATTGCCTCACCGCTGACTGTGTTGTGGGAAAAGAGATATGCCACTGTATTGTACCCAAGAAAATGCCCTCTTGTGGGAGTTCGCACCCCCTCCAAAATGATGGATTATAGTTTGGGAGATTGAATGGCTTCTCTTTCAACTCCAATCCTTCCATCCATCCACCACTGCTTTGTAAAATTCGTTAAATAGAAGTCTTCGAGAAAATGGCAATTGTTTCAAACCCTGTAGTGTGAAGTAAAACAGAAAGGCATAGTTCTTCCAGAACAAAAATAACAAAGGAAAACTTGTTTGTGACATGCATGGCACTGAATGCAAAATTTGGATCCATTTATTTTGTACACAAAGAGTGTCTTCTATTACACAGTCTGACTTACAAAAATTGACATGCAGACATAAACTTCCCCAACTAAAGCAAGGAGGACTTTAAAAGCATGACAAGATTTATTGCTGTCTTTGTGGTATTGAAACCTTCAGTTTTCTTCTCTTGGAAGATCATCATTTTGACCTTGGCCGTTATCTTCTACATCTTGTCCATTCCGGGATATCCCACTCTGGTCTTCTGGAAGAGGGGCATAATTCGGCTCTTCTTGAGGCATGTCAAACAAAACTCGACTGCAAAACATTAACGAATATTTCTGATTTAGTTTTCCGTGTTGAAGGCAAACAAATGATAAAAATGAAACACATTATTTCAAATATTTATAGTCAAACTCACAAAATTCCAGGAGTGGTAAGAAGCTTTCTGCCTCCGGGCTGGTTAGGAAATACATCCTCCAGGAAGTAGTAGATGTGTCCTACACCAATCCCTATTCATACACAAACACATATACATATATAGATATACATATATATATACACATACAGGTGCATCTCAATAAATTAGAATGTTGTGGAAAAGTTCATTTATTTCAGTAATTCAACTCATTGTGAAACTCGTGTATTAAATAAATTCAATGCACACAGACTGAAGTAGTTTAAGTCTTTGGTTCTTTTAATTGTGATGATTTTGGCTCACATTTAACAAAAACCCACCAATTCACTATCTCAACAAATTAGAATATGGTGACATGCCAATCAGCTAATCAACTCAAAACACCTGCAAAGGTTTCCTGAGCCTTCAAAATGGTCTCTCAGTTTGGTTCACTAGGCTACAAAATACAACACGCAATTTATATAAAAGTATTTACACAGTAAATATGAAAAGAAAACAGTGCAAGAACTACAAAAACTAGAGAAAAAATTGTACACAGATGATCTTAAGAAATGCCAAGCGGATCTATTGTAGTATATATATATATATATATATATATATACAGTGGGTACGGAAAGTATTCAGACCCCTCAGTTTTTCTTTTTTAATAAATCTGCAAAAATGTCAACGATTCTGTGTTTTTCTGTCAATATGGGGTGCTGTGTGTACATTAATGAGGAAAAAAAATTAACTTAAATGATTTTAGCAAATGGCTGCAATATAACAAAGAGTGAAAAATTGAAGGGGGTCTGAATACTTTCCGTACCCACTGTATATAAAAAATATTTAAAACATTGTCAGTGTCCTGCACTGAAGAGTACCAGTTTGTCTATTCATACAGTCTCATAAACAAATGCTCATGTGTCAAGAGTTTGTGTGATCTTAAAAAAAATCCTTCCCCTATGCAAAATAAAGAAGAAAAAATGTTTTTTGAATGAGAGACCTATTCTCTATTAATCAATACAAACTGCAGTTTAAGTGACAGTACAACTTGCAGCAAATCATAAAAAACTTCGATAGTTATGGACATTGCAACTAGTGCACAGATCCCTGACAAGTGTTTTAGCACCTTGTTTAGCACCTTAACAACAGGGCATTTAAATGTCTCCTTACACAGTGATTGTTTGATAATACAACAAATACAGACATAGCTCCACGTGGTTCATAAAGCTCAGATGTGCAAGATTTCCTGAGAAGAAATTAGATTAATCAGACATTTTTGAGGTGAAGGGAAGTGAAATGCCCGGGAACAAGAACTTAGTTTATATAGTACAGTTCCTCATCATGATAACGTAGGGAAATTTACACTGTGTGCTTTAGACCTGAGTGTGAGAACTTGTTGTAAGAGACAGAAAAGTTTCCTGAGGGTTTATGGCATGCTACATCCAAAGAAATCTGCACCAACGTAGCGTGGGTAACCTTCCAAAACCTTACGCTGAACTGGGTCAAACCTCCAGTACTGCCGACGGCTGATGAAGACGGCAAAGCCTGTGGAGCATACCACCGTTTGCAAGAAAATTCATTAATGGGAAATGGGAATTCATAACACAATGTATTAATATTGCAGAATATTGCACAACTACATACTTAGTCATTATAAATCAGAACTGTGAGTATGCACAAGTATGTGGTGTAACAAAACTTGATTCTAAACAACTGTCACTGACTATTGCTGCTGAAATATCGCCCTCTTCTGTCAGAGGTCTGTCACACTCACCAATTAAAATTGGCTGAGCAGTGACAGATCAAATGACTGCCATTTTCTCTGCCGATTCCCTGTCATGGATTGAAGCAGCATAATTTCGGCAGGAAATTAGGATGCTATTCATGAGTGACTTTGTGAACATGACCAACTCCATCTTTTGAGTCACTTTGACCCACAAACACATTTTGTATTACATAAATAATTCTAAAAATAACATTTTTAATATTTAAACATAACATTTGACTGAAATTCTACTTTAAATATTAAACTAAAACAGCCAGTAGGTGGAGACAAGTATTTTAATATTAGTCACTAAACTATTAATTCAAACGATTCATTCAAAACCGATTCATTCCGAAAAGAAGCAAGTGACTTTTGAATGGTATATTGAATCAGTCACTCAAATGATTCATTAAAAAAACACAGATTCAACTAACTTTCTTAACTTACACAGCTTGATTTCTTTCATGTTAATATTAACATTTACTAATATGTATTAAAAAGGCTGAGCTTGAAGTACCATTCGCATCCTGGAAGGCAGCATCAATCTCATCAGGGATGCCCCACCAGTCCTGCTGGATGCTGCGTGGGAAGGCTGTGTCCACTCTGTTCTCTTGGGAATCCAAACGCCAGTACTTTCCTGACTTGAAGAAGTATGTATGGTGGCCGTGGTGCTCCTTTAAGCGCAGTGCAGCCTGAATGTGTGTGACAGGAAGGCCTATAGTCTGGAGAGGGTCTGGTCCTTTTATCTTGAGTTCTGCATCAAACACCCAGTAGTTGGAACCTAACAGAGGACATATGGTAAAGAGTAAATATAACTGCATTAATGTAGTATTTTAATTCAATATAACTGTCGCTATATTCTATTTTAGCATTGTTTGCCTATTATTTGTTATTGATCTGCAAATTCATTGCACTTCTGTAAAACAAACAAAGGCAAATCAGACTCCATCTAAAGAATTTCTATCTGATTACACAATTTAAAACTACACAGTATTAAACATTTGTTCAATGTAATGAAAAAAAGATGAAAAACTGATTAAATGAAAAATTATGTATTAGTCTATCTGCATGTTCAAAGTCAGCATGAAATGAAAATTCACAACATGCATCTTAATTTCTACATTTCTTAATTTCTAAATGCATCTTAATGATCTTATTGTGAACAAATGATTGTGTATGTGCATTTATTTTATTTTATACATTTTGTTTTTTGACCTTGTAATTTTTAATCAAAATGTCATGTCATAACTTAAACGTCCAGTTGCTGGGTGATTAAATAAAAAATAAAAAGGTTCTGATATTTTTCAGCTTTTGAATGATATTCAATATTCTAAAATGGCTTAGATTATTTTTAACAGCAGTTATCTTATAAATCAGTATAAAAAAGCTGAGAGACAGTAAATAATCTTAAATGTTATACAGATCACAAAATGGCATGTTTAGACTTTTATGGCCATAAATTATGGAAAAGTTAATTTAAGATGTTTTAATGCTTTTTAAGGATCCACAAACACCTTTTGTCTATAAAATTGTCTCGAGTGATAATCATAATCATAATCAAGTACATTCACATCAACATACCACATGTTTGACTCACTGAACCAATGCTATTCCTGTTCTAAATGCACAGAGTAAAGTTTAACCCAAATTTTCAATCTTGAAATGATACATTTCATTCTGTGAAATTCACAAGTTCCATCTGAGATACAATAACCACCTATAAATGTATAGTACTGTTTTGGTACTGCACTGCACAACACATATATTTATCTGTTGTTACTAGCATGTGTTCTGTGTGCTCGTGTTTTATCATGCCCTGCATTAGAGGCACAAAGCAGGATGCTTCAGATATGGGTCAAGGGGAAGTACCGCACCACCCATTACCATAGATATGTATATAACCAGGCCTGTCTAATCCTGTCCTCCAACCACAAATCACCACAGTCAGCCACTGGTGCTGAACTCACCTACCTTCAAAGAACCAGATATTGCCCTTTTTGTCTTCATAGGTGGCACCTATATTTTCTGGAATGCCCCTCCAGTGTCGAGAGGCCAGGGCAGGGTATCCCGCCTGCAGACGGCCCTCCCTGATGCGCCAGGCATAGCTGGCCTTGAAGAAGAACAATTCCCCACGGATTACAGACACAGCATCGAAGTCTGTGTGACAAGCGTCAGGCTACAAACAGTGACAGCGAGAGAAGATGGGATAACGTAAGTGAGAATGAAGGGCACAAACTGATTTAAAATATGTGATGTTTTAGGAATATTTTGGGCTTAATACAATAATAATTATAATACAATACAATTGCAATATATTTATAACATTAATAATGATTACCACAAAAAATAATTATGAATTTCCTCTGGTTTTCTTTAAAAAAAAATAAAAAATTTTAATTATCTTTTGTGGTAATCAACATTATGGCAATGCTGTTGATGTTGCTGTCTACATTCTTTTAAATGTGTAATTTTTTAAATGTTTAAATGTTCAGTGACTCACTGCACTGGTGATAATCTCATTGGTTTCTGTAGGGATTTGGACCGGGGCTTGCAGGCCATAGAGGTATTGAATCCCTTTCTTGTCATCCTCACTGAGCTGGAGAGGATAAGAGAAGCTGTAAAATGGGGACATTAAGGCTCCAGGCTCCAGAGAATGCTGTAGACCCAGGACATGACCAAACTCATGTGCTGCCACCTGAAGAAGATCAGTTCCTGTAGAATGACATTTAAAATTAGGCATTTTCACACAAATCTGATTTGGCTTTTATATCTGATCTTAAGGAATGACTGTCATTTTGTTTGTTCTGATCTGTTTGTTCAGACAGGGTCATCAACATCTGGTGCATCTACATCGGTTTCTGTAGTAATGATGTAAATGTCAGCGTGATGCCAGAAGACTTTCTCATTCAACAGCTGAGAGTAGCTGTCAGTGTGGACTGAGAGGACGGAAAACCAGACATCTTGCCTTTGCTCGTGTCTATGGTGACATCTCACCATGAACTCAAAAGGTGCAGCAACCTTAAAATAACACAAACCTTGTATGATGTCATGCATTTGTATGAAAAAGAAAAACATATTAATCGCTTTAATCAGTTTAATCTGTCAAATCCCATATGGATGTGGATTGGGTTTAAGGTTGGAGCCAAATATGCAAAAAACTTAAAACGTATCAGAGATGTATCCAAACTTTCCAGGTAATTTTTTGAAAACAGAATCTATAATACATTCACTGATTCATTCCTTTACAATGCGTCTTATCTGTATTTGAGATTTCCAGTTTTCCAAGTGAGTGGCAGGCAGTGAAGCAGTAAGATGAATATTCTGCAACTTACCAAGTTCATTGCCAACCGTCCAGGACTCATCATAGTCAAAATGAATGTCTCCCTCCCGATGTGTTCTCGGGAAAAAAGCATGAGCCAGGATCCCACCGGGGCCATCAAAGGGCAAATTATCACCATGCCAGTACCTTATATGGAAAACACACCCACACATATACTCACTATTTAATATCTTTGCATCACAGTAGGACTATCACATAAAAATAAACAAGTTAAAGCACTACATTCCCCATTTATACGTGTGACTTGAACTAAATATTCAGTGTTAACTATTTTCTGCCAGTATTAACATAGCAGAAAATAGACTGACATTAAGAACTACTGGATGTGATATGTGATATATTTAAAATTTGTTCACTTATTAATTTCTTTAGTTTTATACCTAAAGACATAAATATGAAAATCTGTTATATGAAATATGAAAAATATTTCCGTGTTAAATAATGTAGAGTCGTGTGAGATACACAAGTCCCAAACTTATTATACTAAATTGTATACTCTGCTGTATTATACTATATATTTTATATTTTACAGTAAAAGTATTTTAAAGTATTTCATAATTTATATTTTACTTTACTATACTGTGCTGTACTATACTATCATACTATATTGAATACTACACTAGTACTCACTTTATCTTGTAACCCTTGTATTTGTTTGCAGGATCAATTAATCAAGGATGACAAATACACCTGTGAAGAGGGTATTTCCAAAACAACTTAACTGAGAATATGATTTTACATGGCACTCAGGTGTCAATATGAAATTCACCAGACTACTATCATATCAGTTTAGGAAGATGAACAGGAGCCAGAGACCAAAAGCAAAAATGACTTAAACTGCTTCACTCTGTTACACCTAGGCATATTGAAGGTTGATTTTTTTTGTTACCTTGCAAAGTCAATGACTATGTCGGCCTCTTGGTTGATAACCTCAGTAAAGGTGAGGGGTGTGACATCACTCCAAACCTTGAGAGCTTCCTGTAAAACCCGCTTTACTTTATCCTCCCTCATCTGCCATGGGAAACGCTGGATTCTGAACACACATAGACACAGTCATACTCAAATCCTTGCACATGTGGTTGTTGCAAGCCCGCCGGCCGCTCCTTCGTCGAATCCGCCGGCCGTGCCGTTCTCAAGCCCGCCCGCCGCCGCTCCCTCTAGACCTCCGGCCGACGCTCACTCTAGCTCGCCATGTGTGACGCTGTGTGTTTCGTTGTGAAAGCGAATCTACTTTGTTTGGCCTTCCAAAAGAGGACATGACTAGAAATAAGTGGTTAAGTTGTATTTACAACACTGTTCCACAACAGGTCAA